AGGAAGCTACCACGACGCGTTTCGACTATTGGTTAGATAGTCTCATCAGGTGGCTTAAAGTCTTCAAAAATCAATTTTAAATTCAAAACATAAAATTTTGAACCATTTCTGAAGTATTTCAAATCTATTAGTGAAGTTTATTCTTCTTCACTAAAAAGTGGTTTGGTAGATGAATGAAGTGTGGTATGAATTGTTTTCAAATTTACCTTGTTTTTTTGAAAGTTATGTTTCCGTGTGTGTGGTGTTGGTTCAATGGAAAGTTTGTTGTCAAGTCAGATTGGAATGATTTTAGGTTAAAAGATTTTCATAATGAGTAGGAGAAATGTCGAAGAGTTTCAATGTTGATGTGTAAATCTGTATATCTAGAATGGAAAAGCTGATGAAGTTTAATTATGAAAATCGATGGGGTACTGGAAGAATACAGAAAAAAAATGAACAAATAATTTAANAAAATCAAACGGTAAATGTAAACTTGTTCAAATATAAAAATTTGAAACAAGGTGTGCAAGAAGCTACCACGACGCGTTTCGACTATTGCTTAAATAGTCTCATCAGGTGGCTTAGTATCTTTAGTTTGATTCAGAATTAAAATTTTGAACAAAAATTCAAAACAAAATTCAAAATCAATTCAAGACAAATTTACTCAGTTTAAAATTTTCTATAAAGAAAATCAAACGGTAAATGTAAACTTGTTCAAATATAAAAATTTGAAACAAGGTGTGCAAGAAGCTACCACGACGCGTTTCGACTATTGCTTAAATAGTCTCATCAGGTGGCTTAGTATCTTTAGTTTGATTCAGAATTAAAATTTTGAACAAAAATTCAAAACAAAATTCAAAATCAATTCAAGACAAATTTACTCAGTTTAAAATTTTCTATAAAGAAAATCAAACGGTAAATGTAAACTTGTTCAAATATAAAAATTTGAAACAAGGTGTGCAAGAAGCTACCACGACGCGTTTCGACTATTGCTTAAATAGTCTCATCAGGTGGCTTAGTATCTTTAGTTTGATTCAGAATTAAAATTTTGAACAAAAATTCAAAACAAAATTCAAAATCAATTCAAGACAAATTTACTCAGTTTAATACTCTCAATCTTGATTAACTCAATTTCAATCTTTATAAATCCGATAATAAGCTGAGAAAAAGGGGATTTTGTTTGACTCGATTGTTTCACATCAATCACAATTCAAGTTCTGGTTTATTTATTCAGAGATGTGTCGTCTCATGGTAATATAGAAGAAAGATAACAGTTCACACGAAACAATAGGAATCTCATATAGTTTCAACGAAATTTCACTTTCAATAGAAGTATAAAAAAAGGAGTTTCGTTATTTCAAAGTCAGGTAACATGTTGCCATCTTTCAGACTTTTGTTTTGTTGTATCTAAATTGGAAATAAAGTTGAATATTGGAAATCATCATGGGTATTTGGGAAAATTCTTACTTGGAAGTCGCGTCGGTTTCAATAATGATGAATGTGGTCTTTTTTGAATTAGTTCATGTCCAGTATTGCGATGATTTCGATATCCAACAATTAGCCGTATCTCCATAGCTGGTGTATCTTGAAAAATTTCGGAATAAATCCTGTGTATATCATTTTTTACACTAGATAGTCTTTTTTCATGCGTATAATGAAGAAAAAGGGTATTGGTGAATAAATTGGGTTTCGTTTGTTTGGATACTATTGCGATTGTTGTTTTTTTGTCTTGTATATTTTTTTGATGTATCTCTCCGTCTAAGCCAAGAGCTTTATTTATTCTGTGTTGTGTTTCTCGTTCTTTCACTGATGGTTGAGCTAATAAGCTTTTTCTCTTGGTTAAAAATTGTTCTTCATTATTCATAAATGGTATCATTGATACTAGTGAAATTGAGTTATCAAAGAATTTTCGGAAATGTGTATCAATATACCTAGATGGATATCTAAAAGCGAAAAATTTGGTGAAGAAAATCAGACAATTACTGAAAGAATGAATGACTCTGATAGACAGAGACTTACCCATTATAGAGCAACATCAATCGAATAGCACAACGTTCCTTTTCAAAAATGTCCAATGTCGTTGAATAACGTACAGCTCGAAGAAGACTAGCTTGAATAATATTGGAAAATACATGACGAGGATGATCAGAAATAAATGGTACAACACAGGGTTCTGCTGCTGGTTTATGATAGACAGATGTGAATAAAACACCATTCTTATTGTCAATGAGAAGATCAAGAAATGAAACACAACTACCAATATTAGCTTCCAATTTTATGTTTGGATGAAAGTCATTAGCTTTCTTGATGACTGCCTCGATTTTTGTCTTTGGTTCATTAAAAGTAAAGAAGATATCATCAATATAACTAGAATGATTAAAGGAAAAAAATGATGGATCTCTTCGAATAGAACAAGAAGAAGATAAATAAATAATAATAACATACCGGCCATAGATTTCATGAGGTTCTAATGTACCACAAATGGCATTTTTTTCCCATTTCCACATGAAAATGTTGGCTAATGTTAAAGTAAACGGTGATCCCATTGCACCACCAATAATTTGTCGATAGAATTTATTTCCATCAACAAATGCAGTTTCTTTGAGAACAATATGAGCTAATTGAAGAATAACTTGAATTGAAATGCCTTGAACTTTCTCATAATGATATTCAAGAAGAAATTCTTCGAGAATTTTAAGTGACTCGTCTTGTGGTAACATTGTATACAAGTTTGTAATATCAGCTGTACAAAATAGAGTCGTTGGTTTCAAATGACCATTACGAACATATTGTTCTAATTGACGAAGAAGATGACCACCATCAATAATGGGTCT